GCTAACATGGGGTTAGTTCGCTAAATTACAATAAAGCCTCGTGCAGTTTGCAGCAAGCTCTCGAATCCGCCTGGTGATTGGGGTGACCGCGAACGTGGCCTGGGACCCCGAATACTTGAGTTTTCGGGGGTCTAACACTAGTACCACGAGGCAACCATTTCTCCTTTTTTCTCCCTCTCCCCATAGCCTGCTGGGCTCCTAACCTTCGGTCCTAACTCCCATACCACCCTCACCTCCTCCCAGGCGAGGGCCTATTCAGATGCTTAGGCACATACAGATGCAAAAAGGAGGCACATTACCCTCAGGCCAGGTAAACAGTTACAGCCTGGTGTTAATTAACAATACAATAGTGGGCCGGAGTTTCCTGGCCCAATATTCGGTCCCCCATACCTACCTGTACCAAAGACACTAGAACATAAGGGAAAAGGTTCTAATTTTTACATGCATTATGTGTTTGTGTGTGAGTGTGGGTGCATAAACATGTCACAGCACATGAGAGGTTAAAAAACAACTTGTGTGAATTTGTCCTCTGCTTCTGTAATGTGGGTCCTATGGAATCAAACTCAGATTGTTAGGCTTGGTGGCAAGTGCCTTTACCGAGATGTCCTAGAGTGTCTACATGTTGAAGTCTTTCACCTCCAACAGTTCCAAAATTTTAGGTTTACATTAAAGTATTTGATCCATTTTGAATTGATTTTTTTGTGCAGGGTGAAGAGATGAGTATCTAATTTCACTCATCTATATGTGGGAATCCAGCTTTTCTAGCACCATGTTTTTTCCTTCATTGTGTTTTTGACATCTTTGTCAAAAAATTAGGTGGCTATAGCTGTGTGGTTTGTTTCTGGATCCTCTATTCTATTTCAATGGTCTACAGATCTGTTATTGTGCTTGTACCATGTTATTTTTGTTATTGTAGCTCTATAATGTAATTTGAAATCTTATATTGTGATATTTTGAGCATTGCTTTTTTTATCAAGTGTCTTAGCTATTCAGAGCCCTTTGTGCTCCCGCATGAATTTTATGATTGCTTTTCCCAGTGCTGTGAGGGACTCATTGGAAGTTTGATGGAGATTTCTTTGAATCAGTAGATTGTTTTCATTGGCATAGTAATTTTCACGACACTACTTCTGCCAATCCATGATCATGGGAGAGTTTTTCATCTCCTACTGTCTTCTTTACATTCTTCTTTTCATTCTCTTAAAGTTTTCAGTTTTACCAGGTGTTGGTGGTGCATGCCTTTAATCCCAGCACTCGGGAGGCAGAGGCAGGCAGATCTCTGTGAGTTTGAGGCCAGCCAGGTCTCCAAAGTGAATGCCAGGATAGGCTCCAAAGCTACACAGAGAAACCCTGTCTCAAAAAACAAACAAAGCAAAACAAAACAAAAGTTTTCAGTTACAGAGCCCCCTTTCTTCCTTGGTTTTATTACTATTTTTTTAAAAGCTATCGTGAGAGGGACTGCCCAACCCCCAATTTCTTCCCTGTTTAGCAAATTAGCTGTTAGTATATAGGAAAGCTACTTATATACTTGCTTTGGCAGCACATATACTAAAAGATTGGAATGATACAGAGGAGATTAGCATGGATGGAGTTCAAGAATGCAGCAAAAATTCATGAAGTGTTCCATATTAAAAAAAAAAAAAGAAAGGAAAGCTACTGACTTTTGTATATTGCTTTTTTCTTCTTCTTTTACAGTGGTGGGGATTATACACAGGATCTCACACAAGTTAGGTTATGACATCTCCTTTTCCTGGCCCTTAGCTCCCTTTCCCATTTTTTTTCTTTCTTTCTTTCTTTCTTTCTTTCTTTCTTTCTTTTTTTTTGGGGGGGGGCCTTATAATCACTGGGACCAGGAATAATATCTTTCTTTTTTTCTTTTTCTTTTTTGTTTTTCGAGACAGGGTTTCTCTGTAGGTTTGGAGACTGTCCTGGAACTCTCTTTGAAGACCAGGCTGGCCTTGAACTCACAGAGATCCACCTGCCTCTGCCTCCTGAGTTCTGGAATTAAAGTCATGCACCACCACTGCCCAGCCAAGTTTTTGGTTTTTCAAAACAGGGTTTTTCTGTGTAGTTTTGTCTGCCCTGGAACCCATTCTGTAGACTAGGCCTACCTCTGCTTCCCAAGTACTGGGATTAAAGGCATGTGCCACCACCTCCCAGCCTAATCTTTCTTTCTTATTGACAGCTGGTAGACAAACTTAAGTTCATATGCATCTTCTCGTTCCCCATCTAAAGTTTCTGAACTGTTAGTTACTGCTTGCCTTTAAGGAAGATAAACTGGCCAGGCATGGTTGTACATGCCTGTAAACCCCTCCACACTGGAGGCTGGAACAAGAGGCTCAGGAATTCTAATTACACAGGCAGACCTGGCTTTTGAAAATAAGTAAAACTAGCACAAGTTCTTCTAAAGCTGAGAACTTGGGCTTTGCTTATTTGCAATCTAAAAGTAAACAAACCACAGGAAGTCGTGTGGTCAGTCTCTTGCCTTAAATACCCCCAAACCACCACTTTTCATTGCTATTTAGGGAGAAATACAGGATTCCACTGTGATGCACAAAGACCTGTGTTCAATGCCAGCCTGGGTGATATAGGGAGTGCAAGGATTCTGCTTTGGGCATAGGTAGAGTGTTCTTTTCAGTGCCTTAGTTTTCATTCTTGTCCACTTTTTCTCTCAGATGACTGCTTTTCAGTGCAAATAAGTAGAAATAGAATATAATTTGCCTGTTACAGACTGACATGACACGTGAGCAGACAAAAATCTAAAAGAGGTAACAACCACCAAAGAAAATGCCATAAAACCTTTAGACCATGCAATACCAAGCTTGAAGTGACAGCACACAGTGCGAACAATGCAATAGTTAGAAATACAATGTAGCAACAGCTACTCTCGTAGAAGCAATCCTCACACCACCAGGGGAAACTGAAGGTGCTTTCTACATTCTTTCAGTTGTTTTAAGCTGTGTGGAGGACCTAAAATCCCCTTAAGACTAGGAATGTAGCTCCGTGATAGAGTACATGCTTCGTACATACAAGGCTCTGCATTCAATCCACAGCACATAAGGAAAGGAAAGAAACTCCCTCGAAAACACAGTGCATCGCTGAGTCTTGCAGCTTTTCTGTCTTAAGGCATTGCTTTGCAAAGGAAATGCTTGTCCAATCAGCAAAGTTTCTATTCACACGACTGCCATACGTCACTTTGAGGATACCTGGAAGGAGAAAAGGTCATAATGCTTCTTTCAGACTATGTGAAACTAGGTAAGTGTTCAAATGATTAGTTTCATATTCAAATCTTTGAATTTAAGTAGCAGATCCTTGCTGTTTAAAGGGCTGTAAATGGAGCAGAGGGAGGGGCACATGAATCTGTGGAATTTGGTTGTGAGTACAGTTCCTTATCACTCATACTGAACAAGATGTTAAGTACGGTTTGAAGATAATTATTGTACTTTTTATTTCTTTTCTTTTTCTGAACCTAAATCAAGTCTCAGCAACTATTGATTGATAGACAGTACAAAAGACATTGCAAGCCGGGCATTGGTGGCACATTCCTTTAATCCCAGCACTCAGGAGGCAGAGGCAGGCAGATCTCTGTGAGTTTGAAGCCAGCCTGGTCTACAAAGAAACCCTGTCTGGAAAAACAACAACAACAACAACAACAACAACAACAAAACAAAACCAAAAAACAAACTTTATGAAGATGATGGAGGTCTGTAAAGAGTAAAATTTTTTTTAAATCCTTTAAAGAAATGGAGGAAAAGACAACCCCAAAAAAAAAAAAAATGGAGAAAATCAATAAATCTCTTAAAGAATGTCAAGAAAACCAAGAAAAAACAGTTGACAGAGACAAAACTGTTCAAGACCAGAAAGTGGAAATAGAAGCAATAAGGAAAATACAAACTGAGGGAATTCTGGAAATGGAAAACCTGGGTAACCAAACAGGAATTACGGATGCACCATCAAGATATAGAAGAGAGAGTCTCAGGTGTTGAAAATACGATAGAGGAAATAGATTCATTGGTCAAAGAAAATGTTGAAACTAAAAAATTCCTGACATGGGCTGGGTGGTGGTGGCCCATGTCTTTCGTTCCAGCACTTGGGGGGCAGAGACAGGCAGAGCTCTGTGATTTCAAGGCCAGCCTTGACTACAGAGTGAGTTCCAGGACAGGCCCCAAAGCTACAGAGAAACCCTGTCTAGAAAAAAAAATTCCTAACATAAAACATCCAGGAAATCTGGGATACTATGAAAAGACTAAACCTAAGAATAATAGCAATAAAAGGAGAAGAATCCCTGCTCAAAGGCCCTAAAAATATATTCAACAAAATCCTAGAAAAAATTTCCCAAACTAAGAACTTACCAATAAAGGTATAAGAAGCTTACGGAACGCTAAATAGATTGGACAAGAAAAAAAAAAAAAAAAAGAGGTTCCTACCACCACATAATAGAATCAAAACATTATCCACTTATGAGTGAGTACATACTATATTTGTCTTTCTAGGTCTGGGTTACCTCACTCAGGATGATATTTTCTAGTTCTGTCTATTTGCCTGCAAATTTTAGGATGTCATTATTTCTTACCGCTGAGTAGTACTTCATTATGTAAATATACCACATTTTCTTTATCCATTCTTTGGTTGAGGGTCATCTAGGTTGTTTTCAAGTTCCAGCTATTACAAATAATGCTGCTATGAACATAGTTGAGCAAATCCAGCCTACAATCCACGACCCCAGAGAAGCTAGAATCCTCTTCCAGAAACAGATGCAGAAATCCACAACTAACCATTGGGCTGAGCTCCTGGAGTACAATCGACGCAAGGGAAGAGTGATAATATGAACAAAGGAGTCAAGACCATGATGGGGAAACCCACAGAATCAGCTGACTCGAGCTCTCGATAGATCACTGACTCAGGTCTGACAAATGGGGAATCTGTATAAGACTGAACTAGACTCCCTTAATATAGGTGACAATGGTGCAGCTGGGGCCACTGGAAGTAGGTCCAAGATCTAACTCTAGTGCACAAACTGACTCATTCTATATGGAGAGATACTGTCCTGCCTCAATGAGATGATGGGACAGATTTAGTAGACTTCCTAGGAGAGGCCTTATTCTCTCTGAGGAGCAGATGGGAGGTGATGGGGGGGGAGTGGAAGGAGCAGGTGGGGAGGAGGGGGCGAACTAGGATTGGAATGTAAAAAATAAATTAATAAAAAATGAAAACACTAAACATACAGAATAAAGAAAATCAAAGGTTGCAAAGAAAAAAAGGCCCAGTAACATATAAAGGCAGACCTATCAGAATTACACCTGACTTTTCAATGCAGACTCTAAAAGCCAAAAGAGCTTAGATAGACTCTTGCAGACTCTAAGAGACCATGGATGCCAGCCCACACTAGTATACACAGCAAAACTTTCAATCATCATAGATGGAGAAAACAAGATATTTCATGATAAAGTCAAATTTAATCAGTATCTATCCACAAACCCAGCTCTACAGAAGATACTAGAAGGAAAATTCCAACCTAAGGAAGTTAGGCATACCCACAAAAAAGGTAATAGATAATACCACACCATAGGGAAGTACACACACACATACACACACACACACACACACACACACACACTCTGCTACCACCACCACCAACAGGAATGAACAATCACTGGTCATTAATCTCTCTCAGTATCAATGAACTCAATTCTCCAATAAAAAGACACAAGCTAACAGAATGGATATGAAAACAGGATCCACCCTTCTGCTGTATACAAGAAACACACCTCAACAACAAAGACAGACATTATCTTAAAGGATTGGAAAAAGATTTTCCAATCAAATGGACTGAAGAAGCAAGCTGGCATTGCTATCCTATTATCTAACAAAATATACTTCAAACCAAAATTAATCAAAAGAAATAGAGTGTCAGCATTGGTGGCACAGGCCTTTAATCCCAACACTTGGGAGGCAGAGGCAGGCAGATCTCTGTGAGTTCGAGACCAGCCTGGTCTACAAGTGCTAGTTTCAGGACAGCCTCCAAAGCCACAGAGAAACCCTGTCTCGAAACATCCCCCTCACACAAAAAAAGAGAAAGACATTTCATATTTATCAAAGGACAAATCCACCAAGATAATATCTTAATTCTGAATATATATGCCTCATATACAAGGGCACCCACAAAGAAACATTACTAAAGCTTAAATCAAACATAGAACCCCACACATTAGTAGTAGGAGAACTCCATTCTCACCAATGGACAGGTTGTCCAGACAGAAACTAAACAGAGAAATAATGGAACTAGCAGATGTTACAACTTAAATGGACCTAACAGATATGTATAGAATGTTTCACCCAAACACCAAAGAATACACCTTCTTTTCAGTACCTCATGGAAACTTTTCCAAAATTAACCACATACTCAGTCATGATGCAAGTCCTAACAGATACAAAAGACAATTGGACTAACCTCCTGTATCTTATCAGATCACCATGGATTAAAGTTGGAGTTCAAGAATACAATTGCAGAAAGCCTACAAGCTCATGGAAACTAAACAACTCTCAACTGAATTACCACTGTGTCAAGGAAGAAATAAAGAAACAAGTTAAGGGCTTCCTAGAGTTCAATGAAAATGAATGCACAACATACCT